TATTATTGAACACGATCAGGGTTTATAAAAGCCTACATATAGGGATACTGTTCATATCATGCATAGTTAACTATGTATCATGATAGCCTGTAACGTCTCCAAAATGATTATACTTTGAAATTTGCGCACCAAAAAAAAGATCAACTAACACAGTAATTCACTTTAATAAAACGCACTTCGAGCAAGGAATTTTTTTCTTTGAGTCAACTTTTCTGAAAAGAGATAAACTCTCTGTTTTCGCATGGTACAATTTTTGCTACAATCAAGAAAAAAAAACAAAACAAAGTAAAACAATTATAACACTGAGTGAAAATAGCTCATCATTTTAGTCACATAGCGTGGGTTGAAAGGACTAAAGTAAATAATTCAAACCAGTCACCTTAATAATTTGACTAATCYGTCCCGTCTTGTATCAACACTACGTGCTAATGAAAGCAACCGACACTAAACCCGTGATCCTCACCAAGATTCCTTATMTTTTATAGTAAGCTTTTTGTGGTACTTTTTTCGGACACGTTCTTTCATGTTSTTACCCTTCGAACGTGCATCGAATCCCTATAATGTACGAAGAATCAGTATTCACCGAATATTAATCTTTATCAAGCGTGGAAAATACATCCAAAATCTGTGCTCTTAGTATCCRGTGCATAACTTAACACCCTCAATACATGTAACACACCAAAGTCTGAAGTTCTGGAACTAAATGCTTTTTCCTGTGATACATTAGGATTATGACACAGTAAGTGTTTTTATACCGTGAGTGTTTTAAGCTTTTAATACTAATTTATCCATCATTATCTTGGTCCATCTCTCACATCAATAATGGTTAAATGTAGGTACTTAAGTTCGCATTTGCCTCACTTGAAAAGTGTCTGTTTTACAAGAGCCTTGAAGACATATCTGTCCTTACTATATCAATATTTTTGTATGTCTGTGGGCAATATGCTGTTTCTTTCATTAACTTTTAGGCTTTTATTGAATCAAGACTAAGTTTATATAAACATTAAATGAATTGATTAGCAAGTTAAAGTGCGCRCGCTGATCATTYGAAATTCACTTTTGGMCGTGGGATCTTGTGATGTGCTATTATCAGATCAAAATTACGTGATGTTGTTACAAAAGATCGTTGTGGTTATCATCTAAATCAACCGGCATTTGTTTTCTTTCTAAGCCTGACGTACTAATGCACTTATCTTACACTTTGTAAACTCACAACCGCAGAGTTTGTTTTGAACTAAATGGCGAAGAAATGGAGCAAAATTCTTCGAGTAAATCGATCAAAACCCCAGTAATAACAGGAAAAGAGCACKTATTTGGTGGAGAAAGGTCGAAAAACATGACCTTYAAAAGCAAAGCAAGGCAAGTATGGATGGCAAACTTAATCGCTAAGCAAAGACCAACAGAAATCACATCGAAGACACATCCAGGAAATAATGAAAAAAGAAACAATATACCACTTAGCACTAACGAGGTTACTCGCCCGCCAACTGTGAAACGAAAAGGAACGCCCGAGATATTCCCAATGTCATCAGAAATGAAGAAAACGTTACTATTGCTCGGGAATTTAGACCTTCTACCACTAGAAGAACGACCTCAACA